AAAAAAAAAAAAAAGAAAGAAAATACACAACACCCCCCCACCTGTTTCTTTTTTTATTGTTTGTTTTTGAGTCAAAGTCTCACTCTGTTAACCAGGCTGGAGTGCAGTGGCACGCTTATGGTCACCGCAGCCTCGACCTGCTGGGCTCAGGCGAGCCTCCACTTCAGCCTTCCAAGTAGCCTTCCAAGTAGCTGGAACCACAGGTGCATGCCATCACACCTGGCTGATTTTTTGATTTATTGTAGAGATGAGGTCTCACCAAGTTGCCCAGGCTGATCTCAAACCCCTGGATTCAGGCAGTCCTCTTGCCTCTACCTCCCAAGGTGCTGGGATTATAGGCGTGAGCCACCATGCCCAGCTGCTGCTGTTTCAAAGCCAATGTGTGCCTGCTGGCTTGTCTAATGATGCTTTGCTCTTGGCTTGACCTGGTGACTAATGACGCAGGCTACTCTGATCTCTCAAACACAGGCATTTCGAGGTTTGTGTTTTTTGTCTTGTTTTTAGAGACACAAAGTCTTGCTCTGTTGCCCAGGCTGGAGTGTAGTGGTGAGATCCTAGTTCATTGCAGCCTTGAGCCCCTGGGCCCAAGTGATTCTCCTGTCTCAGCTTCCCAAGTAGCTGGGACTACAGGTACAAGGGACCACATCCTGCCAATTTAAAAAACAAATTTTTTTTTTTTGAGTTGGGTCGCCCAGACTGGAGTACAGTGGCATGCTCCCGGCCACTGCAGCCTCAACCTGCTGGGCTCTGGTGACCCTTCTGCCTCAGTCTTCCAAGTAGCTGAAACTACAGATGTGTACTATCATGGCCGGTTAATTTTTGATTTATTGTAGAGACGAAGTCTCGCCAAGTTGCCCGGGTGGGTCTCGAACCCACGGGCATAGGCAATCCACTCGCCTCGGCCTCCCAAAGCACTGGGATTACAGGCTGAGCCACCGAGCCTGGCCTTAAAATTTTTTTTACAGAGATGGGGTCATACTGTTTGCCCAACTGGTTTATAACTCCTGGCCTCAGGTGATCCTTCTGCCTTGGCCTCTCCAAGTATTGAGATTACAGGTGTGAGCCACCATGCTAGGCCCTGGTTTAAGTGTTTTGTTTTGTTTGAGTCAGGGTCTCTGTTACCCAGGCTGGAGTGCAGTGGTGTGAGTATGGTTCATCGCAGCCTTGACCTCCTGAACTCAGATGATCTTCCTGCCTCGGCCTCCTGATAGCTGGGACTACAGGTGCATGCCACCTTGCCTGGCTATTTTTTTGAATTTTTGTAGGAGCAAGGTCTTACTATGTTGCCCAAGCTTGTCTTGAACACCTGGGCTCAAGCACTCTTCCCACTTCAGCCTCTCAAAATTCCCCTGGGCCACCGTCCTAATGCGCTTCGGCCTCTGCTTTGCATACACGCCCTCAAAGGATCAGGGCTTGTGCTGGAAAGGCTCCAGGTGGGCCCTTGCACCACCTGGCTGCATGTCCCTTCAGGATTACAGGCGGGTGCCAATGCACCAGGTGGTTTCAGTGTTTTAAAAAGCAAGCAGGTTGCAGGATGGATGGGAAGTGCCCACCTATCAAGCCAGACTCTAGGCCTAGCACACCCAGCTCTCAGCCCTCATGACTCCCAAGCAAGTTGAAACTTCCGTTTTATGCCGGGTGCCACCATAGACACAGAAAGTCATTCTAACTCGGCAAATCAAGTAGCCCAGCTGTTTTCTAGAACAGTTCCTACTTCTCTCAAAAATTTCTTGTCCCAAGAGGGAATGCAACCTAGACACCAGAGGTGAATTTTTTCTGGCCACTCAGAACCTTTGGCTTGTTTTTACTCCCCTGTAAGTTTATGTGTTTTCACAAGGAAGGATTTCCAAAGAAGAAATAAACACCAAGTCCCTTCCTCTGTCTGCCTGGTCCTCTGCCCAGGAGGACAAAGCGGTCATCAGCGTTTCTGGGAGGGCCCCTAGAAATATGAGCCTTGTTCTCGCAGGGAAGCAGGCCTGCGGCCCACCCACCACGCCTGCCCGTTGCTGAGTCTGAGATGTGGGCGTCTGAACCACACTTTCTTCTGTGGAAAACCACGGAATGCTTCCTGTCGACCCAACTGAGGGAACTAGAAGACAAACCAAAGCAAAATAGAACACATGCTGACTGTCGATGTGAAAAGCAGCAACAGGGATATGCAACAGAAAACATATACATACTACAGGCGACAGGAGCCGCAGGCCACATGAGCTCCTGCGTGCGTGACCTCCGGCCTTGCGGGTCCACGTACAGTCCCATGTGGCTGAAGCAAAGCAGGTACTCCTCACTTTTGAGCTCCACAGCACAAAGGGCATCAAAAGACTGCTGTGAGAGGAACGTAAGCGAGGGGTCATTGGGATTTACCAGGTTCAGAGACTGCCCGTCTCCCTGGGTGCTCAACAGTGAGAACCCGGAAGGGTAGCCCACACAGAGCCTGTCCTTGAACACCGCCATCCACTGCACACAGCCCGGAGCCACAATCTCATTGAACTTTCTATGGAAAGGCTTAGTTCTCTGGATCTCATAGCAAAGGATCAGCCGTTTCACGGCCACAAACAGGCAGGTGCAGGAGCTCTTCTTCAGCGTCGCGGTCGCTATGAGCTGGCAGCCTTTTGTTTCCGGAAGCTTGATATCAAAGTTGCCTTCCGCCCCGTCAAAGGTCGACCATGGGTAGAGATGGACATGGTGGTTCCGGCCACAGAGGAGGACTATGATCTTCTCCTTGGGGGCAAGCTCAATCTGGTGCACCTTCTTGCAGTCAGCAGCACGGACGATTACTACAGAAGAGACCCAGAGGTGAGGCTTGAGACAGCCGGGATCTCATGGCAGCCACAGCCCTGCTGAAGACCCACCTGTGGGACCTCCCCTTCAGCTCCGGTCCTTGCCTGAGGCTGAATGCTCCCTGGAGAACCTGCCTGCCTCTCGTGCATGCATGTGTGCCTGTGCCGCACCCCTGGGCCACCATCCTAACATGTCTCCGCCTCTGCTTTGCACACACGCCCTCAAAGGATCAGGGCTTGTGCTGGAAAGGCTCCCATGTGGGCCCTTGCACGGCCTGGTTACATGTCCCTCCAGGTGCAATGCAGCCCATGGGATGATCTGACTTCCTTCCAGCTCATCCTTGAGCCACAGAGTTCCAGGCTCACACATGGGGAACAAAGAACCTTCTTTAGACAAACTCTGAAAGCATCTATCCCTCCCAGGGCCCCCAAGTTAGCCCAGTATTCCAACTTGCTTAGGGTCTCGTCTCAGGGCCCCCAGGTCTGGATCCTGAAGGACTAGACCCCCTGGGCTGGTTGCCACACACCCTCCTTGCTCCACGGCACAGTGTGCAGAGATACTGGGTATGTTGGGAAGGGAAGCAGTCACATGAGATGTCGCCGGAGTCCTTGGGGCCAAGGCCTCTGCCCCAGGCAGCTTGAGTTTCTTGGCATGTCTACTCTTATACCCAGAGCTGAAGTGGGAAGGGCCTTTCCTTGCTGGAAGCAACAGAACTAAAGTCTGTTTCTCTCCAGAGATCCCCCGTATGTGTGGAAACTCCATGGCTGCTTCTCCATCTGGAGGCTTCCCTGACCCTTTGCTCTCCTGCTGAATCCTCTCCTCGAAGAACTTGATGGCGCACTTGATGCTAGTCTCCACTGCACGCTGACCTGACTAGCCCTGGTGCCATCCACGCCAAACACCACCCCACACTCCAGACACAGTGTCCTAATTCACATCGATACAGATGTCGCGTGAATCCCAAGGGGTCACAATATCCTATTTCACAGAAACATGGACGTTATATGAACCCCAAGGGTTCCTGCTGCTGACTCTGTGCTCATCTGCTGATGCCAGGCTGGACCAAAACACCCAAGGTCTCACTCACCATCTCGGTTGATCTCTATGACGTAGAGTCCCTCTTCCAGGCCGATTGCAATCCTGTCTCCATCTGCGGAGGAGTGGGAGGTGAACAAAAAAAATCAGCACAGGTGATCCATGGGCAAGACGGGTTTGAGTCCAGCAGCCCATGTACTTGTACATTTACTCCAATCACACATGGGTGGAAAGTACAGCACTGAGCAGGTATAAGACAGAGTACAGAGAAGGCTGGCTTCTCACACATGGGCCCTACAGGAATGACCACATGACTGGAGGATATGTGGGTTTTGGCAACAAGGGGGTCCTGGAACCCATCCCCGGGGTACACCAAGACGACTGTCAGTGCAGGTTATCTGTTTCACAGTGAAGAAGCTATCTGTAAATTCAGATGAACACCACGACTGTGGTCATAATCGAATTTTCCGATTCGGCCCGACAGCCTGGTTGGAAACACAATCTTCCAGATAGAGGAGAGGACATCGCAACAAGACGCACCCACGATGGCAGCCGTCAGGACGGCCTTGATGAGAGGCAGTGCACTGTCGTAGGCTTCCTGCGGAATGTGTACGACCTGGTTCTTCAGTCGGTTTTTATGGAGGATAGACTGGAGTCCTTCTAGAATCCCAACCCACTTCCTCTTTTCGTTCTCATTTTCTGTCAGAATGAGCAGTGAGTTGGTCTTAGAAGGTGCACCTAAGAGAGAGGCCGTCACCTTCATGACAGGAAACAAAATGATAGAAACAGAAGCACCATGAGACGACCACATCATGCCAGATGCCCACACCCAGCCAGGACCCACTCAGTGCCTGAGTATAGGTAGGGCCGACACTCCCAGAGCCCCAGGCCCAGGCAGAGGTAGAGCTGAGAGCCTTAATCCCACAGCCTCCCTGCTCCACAGAGGCCAGGAACCTGGAGATGGCAGAGCTATAAGCTGCCAGCCGAGTTCCCTAATGGTCAGGTTTTAGTCAATTTTGCTCCTGCCAAGACTATGAGTAACTGTTCATTGTAAACAAAAGTATTCTCTCCCAAGTCAGCATCCCCGTGGGCATTCTGAGTATGTGCTGGGAAGCCCAATGGCTTCAACAGCTGCAAAGGGTCGCCAAAACACACAGCGATAGTGACCTGAACTGTGTGTGCAAAGCTGTTTCTGAACAGAGATGCGATTTAGGGAAAATGATTCAGAGACTTAGTCTTGTGGTCGACCAAACCTTTGCTGTGTTTATAAAAATCCCAATGGAGAGGGGGCTAGGGTATTCTTTACCGATTCACAATCTTCCAGAAACTTCCTAATGCCAGAATATTTAACATTAATTCGGTGGAGGCACCCTCTAACTCAGCCAACAAAACACTGATGAGTAAAGTCTGCTAGTTTGTCCCGTTTGCCTCCAGCAGTGATGAGTGACTCGGGAGGGACACTGGCATGGTATACATCACGTGTGACCCACCCCCAGCAGTGAGGATACTCTGACTAGAGTCATGGAGACACAGACCTGGTGGGAAGGAGTTTCAGGTGCAGGATGATAAGAGAGGTCAGAGAAGGGGAGGGGGAGGCCCAGGAAGAAGCTGGCCAGGAGGTTCCCAAGAGGGGCACGGGCAGCATGGGGAGGGGTTGCAGTCGGGAGGGCGGGATGTGAGGGGTAGGATGTGCACAAGAACCTGGAGCAAGACGGGAAGCCAGAGGACTGAGCCCCACTCTGGAGGTGCACTAGGAACTGATGTAGTATGATGACATGCACTAAGGATCATTGTCTCAACCATGTGATTTGGGTTTTTCTGATCGAGACAGGGTCTTGCTAAGTTGCCCTGGCTGGTCTCAAACTCCTAGGTTCACACAATCTTTCCATCTTGGCCTCCCAAAGCGTTGGGTTCATAGGTAGGCGTGAGCCACCACACTCGGTCAGCCATGTGATTTTTGAAAAATGATTAATGAAATGGTCTCTAAGAAGTAGGAAAAAACAAACGAGAAAGTCATACCCTGAAGATACATGGAATGTCTCGGCGTGTAGCATGAATGACGTCTGAGGCCAGAACTGAGCTCACAGAAAATTCTTCATCTCTGGTAAGAAAGAAACAGTCACCACACTGGAAGACACACATATTGAGGCCCACCCTCGCCCTGTCTGGCTACAACTCCACGAGAAAGGATGCTTCCCTGTGCATTCCACGACAGAAGGCAGGTTCCTCGCCTTACCCGGTTAGAAGATACTCACACTGCTCATAAGCTAACACACAACTAGAGAGCCTGCGACATTCCAAGGGCTAGGACACTGAGAAGAAGCCCTGATCTGTCCTGTGCCAGTGTGAGTCAGACTGCTCCAGTTCAAGGACTTGGCCTGTACTGGCCATGAACAGACAGCCACCATGTACACATGTAACGGTGGAACGAGGCATAAGCGTGGAAGTGATGCTTCTAGCATGCTCCATACCAGGCTCTGCATCCTGCATCAGCCTTCAGAAGATGCCTTGTCACTCAGCTCATGCCAATGGCTGTCCGTTAGCAGCTCTGCGCCACCAGACCAGGGACACTCGTGTGTGGCCAAGGCCAGCAGGTGCCCCAGGGCAGAGGATGCAGAAAGGGAGGATGCTGCCGAGTGACCCTGACACTCTCTCACTGTCCTCAGGGCACCAGCCGTGGCAGCCCCGCTCCAAGAATCAGTGTTGGAGCCTGAGCCACAGGCAGTCCACATCACATGAGATGACACAGAGGCGTAGCAACAGCTTGCGTGCAGGCCCCGTGCCAGCATGGCCTGCCCAGCAGCCTTCACAATAGCCCTCTATGTGTCAGTAAGGTGATCACTTCCTTCACCTTACAAATGGGGGACAGAGGGGCAGAGACCTCAACTGTCAGAGAACGCGAGGAGGAAGAGGCCTGGCCCTCTCAACAGTTGGTGCCATGCAGCAAAGGCTACGGCCACACAGAGCCCAGACTCCAGCCTTCCTCCACAGAGTACCCAAGGGATCTCAAAAGCACAGATGCTGCAGGCTGCTCAGTTTTCTCTGGAGTATTTTCTGCGTGTTCTTGGGCATGTAGTTTTCTTATGTTAAATAAATGCCTATTTGGCAAGTTTTTCAATGCAAAGGTATCCGTGTATACCATGTACTTTAAGTCATAACCGCTCTTACCCATTTTTGGAACCATACAATAATCAAGGAGGTGAGGTATAAATGAAAGATGACTAAGCAGCATATTTTCCTTTCCGCTGAAGAAAAATAAGCCAAAACTCCCAGAGTAAGGACAATGCCCATGAACACAGACCTGAGGTCCAAGACTTGGCTCGCGACGACGCCAGGCTGGGTGGACTTTCCTTCAGGCAGATCATACAGAAAGAGCTTACAGTCACAGACGACTGCGTACGCCCGCTGCCAGCCCTTCTTCACCCCAGTGGGCTTGGGGACCTATAGACAGATAGTGACCATGTTCTGCTGGGCCAGGGAAGCCACTAGGTCCCGTGAGACCCACTCACAACCTCCTGCCAGCTACAGACCCACTGTCCCACTCCTGTTTCCTACCCAGGCTGGTGGCCAGAGCTGTCTGGATGATGGGTGCTAGGGAGGGAATCTGTGCATGAGACGTGAGGTGGGGAAGAGGTGGACAAGTTGCAAACAGGTGTGTATGAGCAGTGTTGAATGCTGTAGCTGGTCAGATGCTTAGAAACGGCCTGAGCACAGGAACTCTCAAATACTACTCAGCTTGGAGCACTGACTTTTTCCACTAGCCAGTTGCCTAGCCCAGGAGGCAGGGAATGTAGGAGCCCTGATGGATTCTGAGCATGCTTCTGCATGGGGTCTTTAGGACCCCTGAGCTATTCAGAGCAGCAGCTGCACTGGCCTGACCACCTCATGGCCCAGGGCCACTTGCCAAAGCATAGGGACTGCTTTTAAGAGCAGATAGGCACGGTTATTGGTCATTACACCTCAAAGACATCGAGGGCTGACCTAGTAGAAGATGAAATGGCGGTGCCTGTATCCCCTACCTTGACATAGCCTTTGTAGGCTGTCCCGATGCCGCGTTGCACATCCACGCCAAGAGGCCTCTTGGACTGTTCAGGAGGTATGGGGCATACCTGGGGAGCACTGTCTTTGCAGGACACATGGCAAGCAAACGAACACACTGGAAAAGAGGAAGACCACCACCTTCAAAACCTGCTTCCTACAAAGTGGCCGCCACTGTGGAACACACACTCCGAGAAGACAATTTAATAATTATTATGGATCACCAAGACAATTCGGATATCCAGTAAAGTAACAATAGTTTGTAGAACACAATCCATACAAAATCTCAGAGATTTTGGTAAGGAATAAATTTTCAACATACTCCTATGAGCACTTACAGGGCAAATGGGATGCAGTCACATGGCAGTTTTATCACTAAAGTATTATCAATAAAAGCTCCACTGTTGACCCCAAAAGCCCGTGCCTCACCCCACGTGTGCGTTTCCAAATCTCACCAGAACCAACCTGCATGCCAATTACACAGCAAGGGTCACACTGAAATATAGGAGTCTTGACAGTCAATCAAAATGTAATGAGTTGGAATAACAAAAGAAAATGCTTCTGCTAGCACGTAAAACAAGACCATTGCAAAAGCTGTTCTTTTTTTTTTTGAGTTGGAGTCTCACTCTGTCACCCAGACTAGAGTGCAGTGGCTGCTCCCGGCCACCGCAGCCTCAACCTGCTGGGCTCCGGCAATCCTTCCGCCTCAGCCTTCCAAGTAGCTGGAACTACAGGCACGCACTACCACGCCCGGCTGATTTTTTGATTTATTGTAGAGATGAAGTCTCGCTGCCCAGGCGGGTCTCGAACCCGTGGGCTCAGGCAATCCACTCACCTCAGCCTCCCAAAGGCGTGGGATTACAGGCTGAGCCACCAAGCCTGGCTTTGCAAAAGCTGTTCTTGCATAGCAAGCCTGCCCCCCAACCCAGAGGTAGCGTGGGCGCTCAGAGCCCAAAGGTCTGGGCTTCAGCCCCAGTACTGTCCTTAGCACAGGGAGGCCTTGGGCAGGTTACTTCTCTGTGATACGGGGTGATCATCAACACAACAAACAGGTTGTGTGATGAGGCGGGATCACACCCCACACAGGGCAAGAGTCATCAGAACACTAACAAGAGTGGCAAAACAACAGTGTGATCTCTAGACAATCTGATAATGGAAGACTGCAGCTCTTTTTCTTCTCTGACTTTCTAGAATAGCCATGGATGGTAAAATTTTGCAGAAATTCTCGAGAGATGACTTGGGTTGCCACAGCCGTGCACGGAGCTCCCAGCATAGCTGGAACCAAGAGTCCATGCACCTTTATTGAGCACAGATAAAAACAAAGACCTCGCCCTCAGGTAACACCCATGAAACCTCACTTCTGGTTCGTTTGCTTGCAGAAGAGCCACTTGCGCCAGCAGCACCATGGCCACACTTACCCTCGCAGGCGTAGCCCTGTCGGATAAGCCCAACCATCAGCGAGGTGCAGTGGCTGCACTGGGTGGGGCTAGAGAAGGACTTGATGCTGAACTGGTGAGCTTTTGGCTGGAGGGAGAAACCAAGAACAACATCACCAAGGTGAACCCCAAACTCTGAGAAGACGGGTCAATCTGTGTGTAACTGAGTTGGGCACTGTGTGGAGAAGCTGAAAACGTACAGTGTCTTTTCTTGGGATAATTGTTCCCTGATAGGGCTGATCAAACAGTGGGAAAGGCCACCTCAGGAGCTTGAGCCAGGGAACAAATTAACATGATGCCTTCAGTGAGAGAGACAGTGCTGGGCTGGAGCGCCAGGTGGCCCAGCTGATGGACTTCCTGGAGCGAGTTCCAGGCCTTCAGAGGACTGGCACCACGGGCTCTAGGGGGCCTGCCTGGGGCCACCTGGAGCAGCCCTTACATGTGTGACTAAGAGACACGCAAGAAACATCTACAGCAGAACTGGTCACAACTGCAAAGGCCTGGAGAGTCCCCTGTTCCTCGGGTAAATGGACACATTGTGATTCAATCAGCCATGGAAGGAGCTGTAAGGCTGAGTCAAGGAGCACAGTGCAGGTCACACAGGACAGCACGCCTGTGAAACCTGGACACAACCAAAAGTGCTCTGCTCCTCAGGAAGACAAAGGTGTGGGTGACCAACACAAGCTCCAGAGAGCAGCAGGGGAAGAGCTAGAAAGGTGGGCAGGGAGGGCACAGGGGAGGGGCTGCGGGACGGCCATTACGACTGTGAGTGACAGAGGAGCACTTTGAAGAGCTACTGCTGGGCCTCAAATATGTGGACCAAACACATAACCTCCAAGGGTCTAAGTCCAAAAGCCAAACCACTCATTAATCTCACACAAAAACCTCGCTTATGTCTGGCAGGCATGGCTGCCCTGGCTGAAACCATGAACACAACAACAAAACCCATCCTGGGGAAGTTGGCCTTGCCCCACCTGGAAATCTTAGGATCTGTGTGATGTTTATACAAAAGAAAAAAGGTCCTAGGAAGAACCCAAGGCCAGGACAAAAGAAAGTAGCCCTGCGTGGACTGACGTGTGGCATCTAAGACGCATCACGAAAAAGATAAGGATCAAATCACCTTCCAGTGTGGGGCTACCACATTGGGGAAGCAACTCTCACCCACAAGTCATGTGGTTCTATAGGGCTCGCTATGACAGAACAATGAAAAGAGACGTGGAAAAGGCAGGCGACAGATGTAGACCACAGAGCAGTTGCCATAGGGAAGGGGTCTGGGAAGAGGGAGCAGGGAGCTTGAACGCTGGGCATTTCCAGTCAACGCATCTGTGAGCACAGGTGCCACTGAGGAAACATAGGGGCCTGACACCTCCTGAACCACAGGCTGTCTTACCAGCCTCAGAACAGAACACGAAGGTCTTCACTATGGGCACACAAAAATCACCAGGTCTGCTTCATTTACACAAAAGCAATTTTCTAAAACTAAGAAGGCGCCCCGAGTGTGAAGCAAGGCCCTACCTTCGGTCCAGCCAGAGTGAGGGCCTGCGTGGTAGGCAACGGCACAGCGGGCGGCCTCTGCGGGGGCCGGGCCATGTCCTGGGAGACAAGCAGGACAGGTGAGCGTCGGCCCATCTCGGCACTGCCCAAGATGTCATACCCACTGGGGATTTGTGACTTTAGAATTTATGACTATTCAACAGCTCTGCACGTATACTTTGTCACACTGCTGAGACCCCTGTCAAAGCCCCTCAACTCGCTTGGGCTGACAGTGATGAAGTGCCAAGTGCGCTCAGGAGTTGGGAAGAGGCTCCGCTGTGAGCTGTCCCACGGGCTCAGGGAGTGGTGTGGCCCAGCCAGGGCAGCTGGTCACAGGGCCATGAGGGCAGACCCAGGTCAGAGCACCCAGGCCAACACTGTTGCTTACTTCCTGCTGTTCTGAGTTTGCGGCCACAGGCATCGACGGGGACACTTCTGGCTTTACAGGCTGTGTTTCTTGCTCACTAGCTGAGCTGCCCTGTGAAAACAGAGAAACAGTGGGAATGACAGGATGTCCTCTTCATTTAACAAGTGCATTCTGCTGGGCCCCATGTCTGGCGGCTCTTACTCCTGACTCCTGTCTCCCCACGGACCCCCACATTACTCCCAGCTGATCTGCCTTCCCTAAGGACCACTGCCCTTGGCATTCTAGGCTGGACTGGTGACTGCATGGGCAGGTGGAGTCTGACAAGTCACAGTTGTCACTGAAGGTGAGTGGTCACCTGGCCTCATCCTTGAATGCATAGTCCTCCCCACCCATTCCTGTGGCCTCCTCACCTTGCCATTTAAAGGGTAGGACCCGGAAATAAGATTGACCCTTTGGCCTTATCCTTAAGTGATTTCATCTAAATCTAGTAGCCTTAAGATTAACTAGCCAAATGCTTCTTAACCTCATTTCAGAGGTCAAGAAGAAATTCTAACATCAAGAGGTCTGTGGGCCACGAACAAAAGACTTTCCCTGAAAGTTTTATGACACAGGGAGGCAATGTTTTGTTTTGCTCTAACAACTTAAGAGTTCTAAATTAATTTCACAGTGGTCTATTTGAAGCTAAAGCTACATTTCAAAACCACTTAAAACAACACATTTTAATGAGCATTCCTGAAATGAACAGTTCATCATCGAAGCCCATCCCTATCCACACAGACATACAGGTACCATACGGGCACGTGGAGTAGTAAGCGTGAGCACAGAGACATGGTGCACTAAGGCAGAAGTGGTGGGAGGTGCCTATAAGAGCAGTTTACAGCTGTATTTTGTGTTTCACATTAGAATCCCTATGAATCAAATCAGATAAACACTTTCCAACAGTCGCGATTAATCAGACTGCTGAGTAAGGAGCCAAATTCAGATGAGAAGGTAGTGCACACACAGAAAACACATGCACAGCTGTGTACTGCAGTATTTGAATCTGTAAGCAGATTCACAAGGGAGAGACTAGACCAATTAGTTAATTATCAAGGCTAAAAAACGTAAGCAAATGTGCCCCATAAATAAGGTATGTTAAATGAGTTAGAGTTCTGTCCTAGATAAATGAAGAACAAATGAATATTAAGAAAATTTAATTTTAGTCATGAAAAGGCCCCGCCAGTTGCATTTAGTTGGTTAATTAATCAAAAGGATGCAAATTAAGGGAGAGGGAAACTGAGAATGACGCTCACTGACAGGAAGGAAAGCCACGGAAGCCAGCGCTGGCAGTCACTTACTTCCTCCCAAAAGGCTAGCAGAGAAGATGCAGGTGAGGAGGAGAGAGAATCCTTGATGGTAACAGACAGGAGGAACAAAAATGATCATTGCTGGCCCAGACAACACTGTATGAAAACGCACTGGCTCACTTCCAGTGGCAAACCGTTTCCAGCATTAAGCAACATGTGCAGGGCAGGTGAGGAGGGGGCAGAGGCTTCTCGGAGATAATCTCAGAGTCTAGAAACACCTCCACACAGACTTAGACCTGACCCAGCAAATGCCCTTCCCACTTAAATCACAGAGGTATTGAGGAGAAGCGGAAATTGGCAGGCGTGCTGTCTACAGAGAACGAGGCATCAAGATACCACCTCTGTCTTTGTGTCACACTGCACAGCTTGGTGTCCATGGCTGCGACTTGCTCATTGATGGATGGAACTGGCTGAAAACCCACTTGCCTTGATCAAGCTCACTACTCAGTTCATCGACCACCTCGACCCATAAATAAGCACAGTCTCTGGTTCTTTGGAATCTTTGCTTATTCCTCACCATGACAGTGTCTGGCACCCCAGTGACAGGAGAAGTACGCGATTTGTGCAAGCCACAGGTTTATCAAAGAACCAGTAGGAACTGACAGTTAAATATACTTTCTTCTTCAAAACTGAGGCCATCAGGGAAAAGACAAGCATGGCCAATTTGATTTAAAGACAAACACACATCTCTACAGGTGAAGGTAGACAGGTGTGTGCCCAGAGTGGCTGTGAGCAATGTAAGCCTGGGTTGGTTTTTTAACAACCAATCCAGGCCAGGATGGCTGCCGAGCTCACCCCAAAAAGGCTGCTGTGGACAAATGCCCTCATAGGCACCTGCTGCCTCTCCCTGCTCACACAGGCAGCAGCTCTGGCAGATACCACCCCAACTTCACATCCCCACAGTGCTGGGCAGGCTGACCTCTGTGCATGGGATGTGCACATCTGAGAGTTCATGACAAAAGGCTCAACCCACATCTCGTCAAGGGGACGCAACAGACAAACCCAGAGCACAGGACATTCTACAGGACAGCTGGTCTGGACACCACAAAAATATCATTGTCATAAAAAGGGGAGAGCAGATGGGACGCTGCCTCAGATTAAAGGAAACAAAAGATGTGATGACTAAACATGACTGTGATCTGCAGTTGGGTCCACAACTGGGAAGAAGACCCAGCTCAAATGACATTATTGGCAATGTTGACACAGAAAATCTGGATACACCTATACTACAGTATCAGTGCAAAATGTCTTCTATATGATGATGACACTGTGGCTATGTAGGTGAATGCCCTGACCTTAGAAAACAAGTGCTCAGGTGCATTGGGGGTCACTGATGCCTGCAAGTCACTTTTAAATAGTTCGGGAGAAAAAAGTCTGTGTCTATGTGGAGGGAGAGGGAGGAGTAAATGCAGCAAAATCCGAGGTGGAGGGATGGATGGTTCTGTTCTTTCAACTTTCCGTAGGGTCAGTTTTCTAAATAAAAAGTTGGAAAAAGGCTACCACCAAGTGCCTCATCAGAAGTTCCAATCATGAGATTTGCTTCCTTATTCCAACTTTCTGGCTTGCTCCACGAGTTGCCAGGAAGGGTGCATCCTTACAATTTCAGAAAATGGGGAAAGACTGTACTCATGGAAGGCTAGCGAGAACTCGTGGCACACAGAGGGAGGAAGCGGGACCTGTCCTCACTTGACAGCAGCTTCCCACATAGATGAGCAACGACTTGCTGCTGGGGCGGGTGGCTCACTAAGCAGGGCCGCCGCCTCAAATCCATGCCAGGGTCTTGGCAGAGCACCTGCACTGAGCTGTTCTCACAAGCCACCTTCCCAGCAATTGAGGCTGGACTGTGCTGCTACACAGACAATACAAAAATGGTAACATGACTAAAATATTTTTATTTGCTGTAGTGCGAGAACTTGTATTTTAAAAATTACTGAAATAATACTACACAGTCAGAGGCCAGTGTAGATTTCTCCCCTGAAGACACTGAGCACTTTCTTAATCTAATTTCCACTTATTTGTAGTTGAGAAAGCTTCTCTGGGAGAGTTCAAATGCCTTAAATGTTACTAACCACACATTTAACATCCTGGGTCAATTATGTTGTCAGCACAACTTTAAGATGAACACATATGTTAATTTACTGGTGTGCTTGTGGTCTCATGGGTAGTAAAATCATATTATAATTTCTAACTTATCATAAATTCACTTGTTACTTTACAAAAATAATTACTTACTCTAAATGTCAGATCATGCGCAAGAGGTGCAGTATTGAAATATTCAAAAATAGAATCCTGAAAATCTGGAAGTTTGAGCCCTATAAGAAAGAAACAAAGAATAGTGAAGATAAAAATCTTAAACGTCTCTGTCTTATTTTTAGATAGGAAGATAAAATGTAACAAAGATGTTAATTCTTAAGTTTACTGATAAATTTGATGTGGTCCCAGTAAAAAAAAAAAAGGCCACAAGGTTTTTCCCCCAGAGCTGAACAAAAGAATCAAAAAGTTTACTTGCAAGAGTAACCTAGGAAGACTGTCTTAAAAAGTGGGTAGGCTGGCGGGGGAAGAAGGAGATGTATATCTGCAGATATTAAACAGATTCACTCAAGCCTCTATTCCTAGGAATCAAATGGTTCTTGCCCATGGTAGAAAATTCAGAAACAGACCCAAATGCCCATGGTAATTTTGTGTAAAATCAGTAAGGAAGATAACATTTTAATAACTGGTATTGGACAACCAGCCAGTCATACAGGAAAAAAATAAAACTGGATATATTCCTCAAACTGTACATCAGAGTAGATTTCAAATAGATGAGTAATCTAATTTTAAAATTTTTAAATCCATACAAGTATTAGAAGAAAACAGGAGCAGATCCCTTAAACCAGTGGTCCTCAACCTTTTTGGCATCAGAGATTGGTTTCATGGAAGACAATTTCTCCATGGACTGGGGGAAAGCAACCTTTAGGCATTAGATTCTCACATGGAGCGTGCAATCTAGATCCCTCGCATGTACAGTTCACAACAGAATTCATGCTCCTATGAGAATCTAATGCCCCCAACTGATCTGACAGAAAGCGAAGCTCCGCTCGCCTGCTGCTCACCTGCTGTGTGGCCTGGTTCCCAACATGCCAGGGACCACTACCGATCTGCAGCTTGGGGGTTGGGGCCCCTGCCTTAAACAGTTGGGAGTAGGGAATACTTCTTTCTTTATGACTCAAAAACGGGAAGACTGATAAATCTGACACATAAAAATAAGCAGAAAAAACCCCACTTTTACTAGCCAAAAAAAGTCATAATAACAAAAGATAAAGTAGAAAAATACTTATAATTTATATCACAAACAAAAGGTTCTAATCTCCAAATATAATTCACAAAATACAGATGGCACATAAACATAAGAAAAAACATTCAATCTTACTAATAACTAATATGAAATATGCAAGTTAAACCTATATAGAGATGCTAATTCTCACCTATTCTGAGTGACAAAAATCTAAAAGTTTTTTTTGTTTTGTTTTGTTTTGAGTTGGGGTCTCACTCTGTCACCCATGCTGGAGTGCAGTGGCATGATCATGGCTCACTGCAGCCTCAGACTCCTGGGTTCAGGCAATCCTTCCACCTCAGCCTTCTGAGTAGCTGGGACTATAGGTGCGTGCCACCTTGCCTGGCTAATTTTTAAATTTTTTTGTAGAGACATGGTCTCACTATGTTGCCCAGCCTGGTCTTGAATCCTCCCATGCTGGCCTCTCAAAGTGCTGTATTACAGATGTGAGCCACTGTGTCTGGCCAACAGTTTGAAATCATACTTTGTGGGTAGGTGATTGAACAGCCTCTGAAGGACAGTCTGTCACCACCTAGTATGAGTGTACAAGCATGTTCGCTCTTTGACCTGGCAATCCCACTTCTAGCAATCTATCCCAAAAGTATACTGACAAAAATATGCAATGTTCTATGCATACAGCAGAACTTATGGCAGAACTTTCTGTTTGTTTACTTATTTATGAATTAGGGTCTCACTCAACATGGTACCCAGACTGGAGTACAATTCATTCATTCATTCATTCATTCATTCATTCATTCATTCATTCATGTCTCATTCAATATGTTTGTTGCCCAGGCTGAAGTACAGTGGCATAATCATGGGCTCACTACAGCCTGGACCTTAGACTCAGGCAATTCTTCTGCCTCAGCCTCCCACATAGCTAAGACTATAGGTATACACTATCACACCGGACTAATTTTTAAAAATTTATTTTTTTTGTAGAAACAAGGTCTCACTATCTTGTCCAGGCTGGTCTTGAACTCATGAACTCAAAAGATCCTCCTACCTTGGACTCCCAAAGCACTGGCTTTACAGGCGTAAGTTACCATACCTGGCCTGCAGTACTTTTTCTATAATAGCAAATGCCAGGGTACAGTCCTGTGCCCATCCCCAGAGTGGGCACAGCCCACGGTGGTGCACAGTGCAACCACAAAGGAGGCTTGGATGGTCTCCACGCGCTGTGGTCTAGTGGTCTCCCCCAGCACAGAATGATGCCTTTTGTGTGATCGAGGGGGAGACAAATATATGCCTGTGATACGTGTTACCTGTTGGACATTTTCAAGATGAAACAAAGGAAGGATAAACCAAAACCATGGCTATCTTTGGGGAAGGTATCTTTGAATAAACTGTTTGAAAATTCTACTGGAATTATAGGAAGTGATTTATGTAACTTTACAAAAACGATTAAATCTTGAAAAAAGGAAACCAGTCATTCAAAAAAGACTTACATTTAAATAATTCAGAATATAATTTTAATTTACCAGTATCTGCTCTAAATTTTTCTTCCATCTTTTTCTTCAAAATCTCCATTTCTTCTAATAATTCTCTGTTTTTGGCTTCAGAATCCTTTAGTTTACTAAAATAAAAAATAAAATGGCTTTAAGTGCACTGAGAAGTAGTCTACGTGCTGGTTCAGGGTGTATCAGGATGTGAGAGGACAGGGGTTTGCCTTCAGCCCTGGGAACGTGCTGGAACATAGTAAGTGCTCAGCACACACTGAGTCTTTTTTCTAAGCACATCGTGGACAATGCAGGTATTTCAAAGTTATAAATCTTCAAACGTGGATTTTTAAAAGTCATGGCTTCTGATGGTGCATCTCATGAAGCTCTAATGGAGTTTCTGGACTTCTTAATCTCATTTCCAGTCCTTGATCCTCTGAGGACACGCAGCCCAGATCACTCGGCTGTCAGTCCTATAAATAGCTTTCCCATAGTTGGCAAGATGGTAGGCTGCACCCAAGAGCACCACCACCACCTGAGCACTGGCAGCCTTGCAATTCTGATGATTTTGTGGAGGGGACAGAAAGTCAGGCTGCCGCAGGCAACATCTAGCCAGAAGGCGTGCAGTTAGTAGTGAGGCAGGGAGTCCTTCCCCAAGCCTAACATGATGAAGGTCTTCCCAGGACAGAGTAGGCCCCCCCCCTTAGTACAGTAAGATAAAAGCCTTCCCAGAATAATGAGGAGTCCTTCTAGCACCATAAGAACTTTCTTGGAAGATTTATGTTAGAAAGGAACGTAGCCCCCAATCTGTAGTGCGCATGTATAACTCTGCTGTAACCTTGAGCTGTGAAATACTCAATTAGCCTGTATGCTACTAATATGTAAGTCTTATCGGGGGGACAAAGAAGCTAAAAAGATATAAAAGGCAATGCCCCCCTGTGCTCGGAGCTCAGCCTTTGGCTGTGAATCCGCTGAGCCAGTGCCAGCACGAATAACTGCTTCCTGGCCTCGGTATCCCAACTCTCTCTATAAAATCCTGTCACAGTAGGGGATGGGTCATCTGCGTGAGGTGACAGTGAGCAAATGACTTCACCTCATGCACCTACACCTTGGTCTTGTCATGTGTGAAATGGGATGACAGGAGTGCTAGCCTTGTGAGGATGTGGTAGGGTCACAGGACTTGAAAGAACAAAGTTCTCACAATAGTTCCTGATACACAGGAAGTACATTTAAGTGGTGGCAACTACTATTAACTTTTTTAGTCCAAAAAACAGGATTTGGCACTTAGCAATCCTGTTAGTGATACCATCACTTCACCATGGAGAAGTGTCAGAGCATGATGGAACGAACTCTCCTTCCATGCCAGCAGGTGCTCCCGTAGGCAAGGAGGCCTGGTTGTTATGAAACTGACTCTGAGCAAGTACAACGGTATCTGTAAATAGTAGATACTGGCAAATATTAACTGATGTGTAAAAATGGTGCTCTTTTTTTGAGCTGGAGTCTCACTCGTTCGCCCAGGCTGGAGTATAGTGGCATGCACGCTCACGGCCACCCCAGCGTCGACCGTCTGGGCTCCAGCGATCCTTCTACCTCAGCCTTCCGCGTAGCTGGATCTACAGATGCACGCTACCACGTCAGCCTATTTTTTATTTTATTGTAGATGAGGTCTCACCAGGTTGCCCGGACAGGTCTGGAACCCGTGGGCTCAGGCAATCCACTCGCCTCAGCCTCCCAAAGTGCTAGGATTATAGGCTGAGCCACCGAGCCTGGCCAAAAATGGTGTTCTTATGACTACTTGAAGTTAGAGAAAAAATTTTGAATAAGTATGCTGTCTTCAACCTCTATTTAAAAATATTTGTTTTAGCTTAAAAGGACAAACTCTGAGTGGATGAAATGAACAGCACCATGGTAAACAGAAGTGAGAGGTTCCTGTCACACATGTGGCCGTGAATCTTGTTACTCAGCATGGGGGGACATGCACACATAGTAAAAAAACTAGCCAGGCTCAGTGGCTCAACCTGTAATCCGCGACTTGGGAGGCCGAGGTGAGTGGATTGCCTGAGCCCGCGGGTTCGAGATCCGCGTGGGCAACTTGGCGAGACCTCATCTCTACAATAAATCAAAAATTAGCCAGGCGTGGTAGCGCGCGCCTGTAATTCCGGCAACTCGGAAGGCTGAGGCGGAAGGATCGCCGGAGCCCAGCAGGTCGAGGCTGCAGTGGCCGGGAGTGGCCCCTGCACTCCAGTCTGGGCGACAGAGTGAGACTCCGACTCAAAAAAAAAAAAAATGGACTGACACTTCGAAACCATGGACTCGCGCTGCTCTCATCACTGCCCGAGACCACTAGGTCCATCCCCCAGCAGGTGAGGCAACAGTCCGTGCTCCAACACGTTCCTTCCTCAGCGTCTCCCAAGTGCCAGGAACTCGCACTCCCCAGGGCTCTGCCACAGCAGCCTGCCTCATTGCCTCCCCAGGGCCCACCGAGGGCAGGCCTGCCATACAGACATTCCAGATGAGGGGAGCGCAAGCCCACAAGCCTCAGGCGCTTGTCCAAGGGCAGGCAGGACCCAGCTCCGACTCAAAGGCGGACAGCACAAAGTACCTTTCAAAGGTGAGGTTTGTGTCCTTGACTTTCCTCAGCTCTTCCTGAACAAGCTGCTTGGCCCGAATCTCCGCCTCAAGAGCAGACTGCAGCTCCAGCCGTGCAGACATGTCCAGCTTCTGGCTGCGGCGAACTTTCCACAGTGGATCCTTCAAACATTGATTATGTTAGAGATGCATTTGAATTGTTTAGTTGTTAAATAAAATTAATATTAACAAGTTATCTCTGTCTAATCTCTTTTTTTTGAGTTGGAGTCTCACTCTGTCGCCCAGCCACCGCAGCCTCGACCTGCTGGGCTCCGGCGATCCTTCCGCCTCAGCCTTCCAAGTAGCTGGAATTACAGGCACGTGCTACCATGCCCGGCTTATTTTTTGATTTATTATAGAGATGAGGTCTCGCTGCCCAGGCGGGTCTCGAACCTGCGGGCTCAGGCAATCCACTCACCTCAGCCTCCCAAAGGCGTGGGATTACAGGCTGAGCCACTGAGCCCGGCCTCTCTGTCTAATCTCAAACCATTACTGTTATATTTAATTACTAGCCCTTGCTCTTGAGCCACTCATGCTCGTGCCTGCTCCTAATCTCTCGAGTAAGCTTCCTCTTCTGCTTAATGAATCTCTCCACTTGCAAAAATTAAATAAATACATATTAGTCCCGAGATATTATTGAGGTCCATCAGACCCAATTTTAGCTTTGATGTTTTATGACTTTTGCTCTTCTCTATTTACTCTATTTTTTAGAAGAATAAAACTGATTCTCAGCCGGGCTCGGTGGCTCAGCCTGTAATCCCACGCCTTTGGGAGGCTGAGGTGAGTGGATTGCCTGAGCCCGCGGGTTTGAGACCCGCCTGGGCAGCGAGACCTCATCTCTACAATAAATCAAAAAATCAGCCGGGCGTGGTAGCGCATGCCTGTAATTCCAGCTACTTGGAAGGCTGAGGCGGAAGGATCGCCGGAGCCCAGCAGGCGAGGTTGTGGTGGCCGGGAGCGGCCACTGCACTCCAGTCTGGGCGACAGAGTGAGACTCCAATTCAAAAAAAAAAAACAAAACTGATTCTCTAGTGCAACCTCCACATGGGACCACTGCACACCTTTACAAACCTAAGACTACACAGTGAGGTCTCGGTTATCTCTTTCCCACATCTTGAAACATTTTGCTATTTCAACATCCTAGGAATTAAGCCATTACTCATTCCTGCCTGTGATAAAAAAAGGAAGAATGATGAAACGACCTAGAAGGATGAAGTAGCAGTGAAGTAAGCCAGCCTGACTCCGTTGCTCTTCCCTCTCCTACAGAGCTGCCCAGTGCATTACACCAACACTCAACAGTATAAAGACGTCTGGAGACACCGCCTGGGTAGACTTCTTTTTAAGTTTTCATTGAGTACAATGAGGGATTCATTTTCCACCCAGAACAGTACAGAGAAGAAAAATGACAGAGAGAAAAGTTTCACAATTAGATAATCAGAAGTGGGTGAGGAGGGACCGACAGCAGTATTCTCGCCAGACACTTAACGATGACAGTAAGATCAGTCCTGAGAGAGCTCAGCGAGCCTCCAGATGACCACGTACTCAATGCATTTTCTCAAGTATTGATAAGTGAACAGCATACTTCTAAGGACAAAAGGGAAATATAGTCTCATTTAGTTAGTCCTTCAAGAGAAATAACTGTTCACATCGTATTTTGCAGCCATCTCAAAATCCCGTTTGAGAGTCTCCACTTTCCCATTTTGCGAAAATCTTTTACGAGTTTAGTGCACAAAATGTGCTTAATGCAGCTCATAAGTGCCAGCAAACACAACTGTAAACCTGTCTATGCAAACATAATGGGAAGAGAACATACAAAAATGAAAAAAAGAATCAATGGTCATTCTCTTTGGTGTTCATAAATCTAAAACCTATAAAAATGCTCCCACTGCTGAGCCAAGAACATAGCAGTATTCCTTCGGAGCTGTGTTTCCTAAACCACTGTACTTTGAAGACAAGTGCGAGAAGAGCGAAAAGTCAAGATGAGCTGGACCTGAGGCCTGGCATCAGGGTTTACAGGGAGACGCGGCATCTGGAGTTGTCTGTGACGGGGCAGCCCGTTCACTACACCCCGAGGTGCTGCCGCTGTGGGTAAGCATACCTTCAAGCCAGGAAAATGCAGAATAAAAACCAGGGCTTCCCAAATTTAAGCTCCAGATAAAATTCTACATTGCTTTCACTACCCCTTTATTCTTACTTCTAGAAATTATTCACAAAACAATGTGCGCGTGTATATGCTTTTTAAAAGGACAAATTGGACCCAGAAAAATGGACATGAGAGGCCCCCATGTGTGAGGCTGCCGCTGCCCAGGAAAAGAAGGGGTTGGGTTGACACCTCACTCAGCCAGAGCCTGGTGTGCCCTGGGGGTTCAAGAATATGTGGACCACTGAGGGAGTGGTGACCGGATGAATAAACAGAGCTCCCTGAGGGCAGAGTCCAATCCTGCTGATTTAAGATTATGCCGCACAGCCTAGACTGAATGCCTATTTGCTAAATGAACGCGGTGACACGCTGACAGCTGACAAACGTTGGAGATCCTTAAACAGGGGAACTAGCTAGCCAGGCCTCTCCCGCCACTGGAACTCCCTAAACAGTGCTTAAATGCTCCATTCGGCTTAGAATAGAGCCATAAATGAATAAAGAAAAAGGCAGGTGCCCGAACCCACCAGCGCTCTTGATCCCAGACTCGAACTCCTTAGTGCCTCGAGCTCTTCAGTCATCTTCGAGGCAAGAGCCTGAAGGTAACCCCGGGCATCCTTCTCGTCGCTGACCCTAGAGGAAGGAAAGATGTCTCAAGGCACGACCATGAGTGGGAGCAGTCAGACCAGAAGTGAAGGCTCCCTGCCTTCCTCAGGACACAGGGACACATGAGCCCAAGTGTCCTCGGGCCAGCCGACGCTTCTGTGAAGGAGGCTGGCCTAGCCCTCCCTGGAGCCCGGAAATGCCTGTCCAGAAGGGCTCCACCTTTTGCTTCTTTGAGAAGCCGCCATGGCTAGTGGGTGCCACTACCCTAGCTAGTTGAGGTCCAGAAGCAGCTATGAGACCTGTGCCACAGCCTGGAAGAGACGTGGCACAGAGTCAAGGATGGGATCAGAAAGGGAAGAGGGCAAGTGCCCTGCAGACTGCAGTTCACAGGGTGTGCTTTTCCCAGGGCACTAGCTGGGCTGTGCACGTACCACTGAATGATTTCCGCGATCTGAGCTTCCCAGTGGGCAACCGACTCCTTTTTGGCTGCCAGATCCTGCAGTTCATCCTCCAGCTGCCTGTTTTGAGCTGTGAGTTTATCCACAAAGGAACAAAGCTGAAATGACAAAATTTCACCATACCACTTGTTAATTTGGCATCCTTTAAGTATCTTAGCACTATTAACACTGGAAGTGCTTTAGAAGATTTGGAACATTTTCTTTATGAGAATTTCCCAGACTAAGTTCATGGTATGGATTTCTAGATTGTATCTAACTTAAGTCATATTTCAATTTGAATCTAAACCTACAACTGCTAGAGCTAGTGATTATACATAATTATACCATTTAACTTAGTAAAAACATCCTATTTAAAAGACCAAACATACTACTACACTTAAAAGTTAAAATATATAGCCAGGTATAGTGGTTCATGCCTGTAATCCCAGCACTTGGGAGGTAGAGGCAGAAGGATAGCTTGAGCCCAGGAGTTCAAAAGCAGCCTGGGTGACACAGTGAGGCCTTGTCTTTACAAAAAAATAAAACAAAAAAACGTATAGGACCACTGTCGTGATGCGATCTATCACTGACTGAAACATTGTTATGTGGCATATCTGTTTTAAAAAGACACCAAACTTCCATGAATTATGAATGAAAAATTACAACTTCCACACCCAGCAATAACTCAGTTATTTTAAATTACCTTTTCATTTTCAGCAGTTAGCTTCTTGTTTTCATCAAACAGCATTGCTCTTTCCCGCTCATATTTGTCTTTTATTGTCCCTACTGCCTCCTCCATCTCATTATGCCTGAGAAGGTGAGGAAGAGACCATTTTAAAGTCTGCACCTCTGTTGACATTCACATCTGCGGGTGGGTCTGAGGTTCCAGATCCACACCAAGGCGCTCATGGAAACCTACCGTTCCCGTTTTGCCTTTTCCAACTTGTCTTTCAGCATCAGGATCTCCTTCTGCAGGGCCAGCTGGTGGCTCTCTGAATCATGCACCTCCTTCTTCACATTTTTCACTTCCAGCACGTGGGAGGCCTCACGTCTGACCAACTCCTCTTCATAAAATAAGACTTTCTTCTCAAGCTCAGATTTTATCTTTGAAATCTCCTGCTGATGCTCTAAGGTGGCAGCTGGTCCCCGGCCTCCTTGCTTCATCTGAAGACAAAGATGAAAACAAGCTAACGAATCTGCATGTCCTCCCTCGAAGATCACACTGTCCTTTTATCCCCAGCTCGTGCAGGCACCTTCCCAGTGACAGTTCTCG